AAATTTAATTAATATTATTTATTATTGTTACTGTTAAAATTTATTTTACTTGGTTATTTTCTACTAACATTATTATTAATTTACTGTTATATTTTATATTCACTGCGAATTTCTGAAATTTATTTTAATTAATTAGATTAGTTATTATTATGGGACAATAATGACTAATGTGGAGAGTTAAAGTGATTAGGATGTATAGTAAATAAATTTTATAAAATAGAAGCAAAGTCTAATTGATAAAGTTTAGCATTTTAAGAGGTATTTTTATTAAATGACGATTATAAGATATATTATGCGCCTTAGATTTGTAATAATAATTGATCAAAAATATATTAATAATACATGTTGATATTACTAAAGCATTTAATAAATGTTAATGATTTAAACAGCACCAGTGGGGACTGAGGAGAGGAGTTCAAGCTTTTTAGGGTATTGTTGAGCGAATACTTGCTTAGCTTTGTTATGGAGTTGTTGAGAAATAATAGCTTCAAGCTCTAATTTAGAACGAATAGTCTTCTTTGATCTTTCCAAAAGTTCATCAGCTTCATCGAATTTGGTTTGAATGCTCTTAATATTAGCTAAATTTAATAAAGCTGTAGTAAAAGCAGGATCAATATCTATGGCCTGTTGGTTATATTTGGCAGCTAATTCTAAATCGGTGTATGCCTTTAAGTAGAAAATAGACTTGTTCAATAATACAGTAGCGTTGTTAGGGCTGATAGTGAGAGCTTTGTCTAAGATATCAGTAACTTCGTCCATTTGACCACATTCCATGAGGAATTCAGCATAGACATTGAGCATTATGGAAGAAGTCTTGAAAGTTTCAAGGGACTTCTTGAAGAAAGCGGCAGCTTCTTCTCTAGGCTTGAAATAACATAAAGAGACACCATATTGGATGTGAGCTTGTTCAAATGTGGGAGAAAGTTCCATAGCAGTTTGGTAGCAGGCTTGAGCCATATCGACTTGTTCTAAAATGAAGTAGATTTGTGCAAGGTGGAAGTGTACTTCGTAACTTTCAGGGTGTTGAGTTTGGAGTTCTTTCAAAGATTCAAAAGCGCCAGAAACGTCACCGGTTTCAGTTAAAATATTACTTTGCTTAATACGGCATTGGACATGGTTAGGGTTAATCTCTAAAGCTTTCTTTAAGCCTTCGTTGGCAGAGTCCCAATCCTTAACAATAATGTCAAACATACATCTGAGGTTAAGAGCTTCAACCATGAATTTGGTATCAGCTTGAACAGCAGATTGCAATAACTTATGAGCTTCACTGAATTTGTTATCGTCAATGAGCTTAATAGCTTCTCTAATCTTCTTATCAGCTTCATTGTCATCACTTTCATCTGATGGCAATGTGACCTTTTCGAAGCAGTTGACATAGTGGAGAGCATAAGAGACGGAAATATGCTCAAGTTGGTTAGGAAGAGCTTCAGCAGCGGCTTGTTCGGCAGCTAAAACCTTAATAGTGCGTTCAATTCCTAAGCTGGCAGTTTGATGATTGGACTCAGCAAGGAAGAAACCGCAGACATAGTCATTTAAAGATAATTGATATTGAGAAGTAGCTTCGTAAGCTTGAGCTCTACGAACAATAGCTTTAGTGTACTCAGGATGCATAGATAAAGTCTTGGTACAGTCTTCAATAACCTTTTGATGTTGTTTTAAAGCGGAATAACCAGCAGCTCTGTTACAATAATAGACGGGATCTTCATGAAGCTCGATAGCTTTAGAGTAATTTTCAATAGCAGCTTGGAATTGCTTTGTTCTAAAGTTATCATTTCCGAAATTCTTTAATAATTTGGAAATAAATTCACGTCTCTAATAAAAGCTTGTAAGTATTTATAAAAAAATTAATATTAAACTATTTACTGAAGCTGATAATTTTTCAATATCTTCTTTAGTTAAAGTCATAGCTTCTTCTTCAGTTAAAGAGGATTCAACTTCAGCATCTACGATAAATAAATTAATATAATTTAGCAATTGTTAAATAATAATAAAGTTACCTAAGTCGTCAACTTCTAAAGCTTGACTGCTTGAAGTTCCATAATAGTAAAGGAAGGCTAAACCTAGAGTACCAGCAGCTAAAGGTACGTAAAATTTCAAATTTTTTCTAACATGATCTTGGAATTGAGTAAGTGTATTAGATAAGTTATTATCGCTCATTATTGTTTTCTATTTTAATTAAATAATTGCTTATTAATTTGTCATATGGGGGCAGGTCATTATTATAATTACCAATTGTTCGGGTCATTTGTGGGATTATATCATCTTTCTCTCTCTTAATTTGTTTACCCTTAATTTTGTATTTTTTCTCAATTGTTTTCATAATTTGTAATAAGTTCAACTGTTGAATAATTTGCTACACTTAAAAATGCTAATAAAAATTATTAAATAACTAAAAACTTTGATAAACTCGCAAAATACAGCTATCTACCAACACAAACTAAGTTGTATAAGCATGATATTGAAATCCACAGCATGTGGTTGATATTTTTAAGTGTCCATAATTTTAGTTAAAGACTATTAATCTTTAATAAATATGAATAGAGTTTAAACTACAAAGCTTTAAGTCTATTCTTATAGAAATCTTTGAACTTTATTATATTTTACTTAATTATTGCGCTTGATTATGCATTCAATATACATTTATATTAATATTATATGCTAGATAACTGTAGTAATTATTAAAGGTTATAGAGTTTTTATTAATGGATTATTCTCTAGAAATTTCAAAAAATATTTAATGGATTTTGTTCTGATTAAATATATTTACTGCTATAGTATAGACTATAAACAATATGTGTATTATTATAAAGTATATATTCATGCATCTCTTTAAATATATTAATACTTTTGTAGAGCATTATCTCATAGAATTTTATCTAACTTATAACTGTTGTAAATGGTATATTTTATGGATTATATATTAATTTTTAAAGATAAAAAGCACTATTAAGCTGTTTAAAATCGGATCTATTTGATCGCTATTTATATTGAACAGTATGGAGTTTATAAGTTTAAAGATAGTACCAATAAGCAATAATTTTATAA